AGGCGGCGATGTTTGGTTACTCTCGTTGTCTTCCATTTGTTTGCATAATAATCGCCACAAGCCCGAACACTGTTGTTTCTCCTCCAAATCATTAGCTACACCATCAAGTTTGCTAGTCTCTTTGAGATCCTCTTGTAGATTCATCAATCTTCCTCTTATGATCTCAGCATTAACTTCATTTTCACGATGGACAGGCGTAAAAGAAAGGCTGGATTGGCGCGAGATGTTCCTAGACGTTGTTGCTGAACCAGGGGTGGAACCACTCCCAATGTCTTGTAAGCTTATAGTATCGAAAGCTTGAGCGAGAAGAGTGACTTTTCTTTTCTGAGATGGTGCTAATGTCGATATGGCTTGTCTCAATGCATAATCAAGCATCCATTCCTCTGAATTCCTCTTCCCTCCAATTTCTTGATGCCTCAAACGGATCTTTTCGGTTTCTGGATCGGGTTCCCAAGGCAAAACCCGAGGAGTCTTGGGGCTAAGTCTTGTCAAACTTCCTAAATCGCTAACAAACCGCTTTAGAAGAATAACTTTCTTCACATTGTTCCATCCTTTCACTCTTTTCTCATTAGACTTCGGTTTGTTGAAAGAGAGAGGCTCTTCACTGACTTGAGAGTTTCTTTCGAATAGTTCTTGATCCGTAGTTATATCACTGTCCATAGACTGATCATCAGATGAGTTGTCCGGGATCTCAGAGAGAATCTTCTCGAGCGCTTCTCGAACAAGTGTAACTGTTCCGCTTCTTCTCGCATCATTCTGAAGACCATTAGCCTCATCATCACATTCACCTTCCACTGATTCACCATTCGCAGAATCAGTTCCTTCTTTCTCTGTTACCATGTGTTTATAAATGAGCTTCCACAATTTCGAATCTTTCCCTTTCTCAATCACGATTCGCTGTTTAACATTTTTGATAGGAGGAAGCAAATTTCTGGATTCCTTTGGCGTAGAACCAACCTCCTCTTCCTGTTTCAAGGCCATTTGATGTACCTGAAATCTTGAAAAGACATTTTTAATCCTCTGTTCATCTTTGTTGACTTCGCAACCTTCCTCTACTCTCGGTGTTCCTTCTTCGACAGTTCCATCCTTGTTACGAGGAGTATCACTGTTCTTGAATTGCTTAGGAGTCTCATTACCATCAAGAACTGTATCAAAGGCCTGCACAAGGAGTTCTACTTTCTTTCTCTGTATTGGAGCCAATCTTGATATAGCTTGTCTCAAAGCATAATCCAGCATCAGTTCCTCTCCATCTGTTCTTCTTCGCTCCATTACTGATCGGTGTCTCAACAATACATTTTCTGCCTCCAGTGTAGATACAAAAGGAAGATTCCGCAGCTTCCTCAGATTAAAAACCTGTACTTTCTCCAAGCTTTTCACAAATCTTTTCAAAAGTATAACCTTTCTCATGCTGTTCCAGCTTCTTTTGGTCTCTACTTGATATTCTTTCTCCTCTTCAAGAGTGTTAGATGATTCCGAAACAACATCTGCATCGTCAGGGATTTCTGAGAGAATCTTTTCAAATGCTTCCTGAAACGATTTAACAGCACGACTCTGCCTCTCCGCTGCATCACCATCCTCTTCAATACCGCTCATCTGATCAGTTCCATCGGACTTCTTGTGTTCTTCCTCTGTGTCATCACCCGTTCGCTCGCTGTTGCCTCTCGTAACCATGTGCTTCTGTATAAGGTTCCTCCATGTAGAAAGATTTTGCTTTTCAGAATCTCCAGTCTTCTCTTCTTCTACGTCTATCGATGCACCCGAAGCCAACCCATCTAATTCTTCCTCCAAAGCAAGATGATGACTTGAACTTGCATCTACTTTTAACTCCAACACTTCACTAGTTAACTTTGTTTCTTCAAGATCCTTTTTTGGTAAAACTTCTAGTTGATCAGTAGTGTCTTGATAGTCTCTCAAGATCGTTTGCGAGTTCACTGTTTCGATCTCTTCTCTATCGGGACTTCCAAGATCATCATGACCTCTAGAAGAGCCACCATCCATTGGGATTAAACTTTCAAAAGCTTTAACAAGATGTTTCACTTTCCTTTTCTGCGACGGTGCAAGTGTCGAAATGACTTGCCTAAGGGCATGATCAAGCATCCATTCTTCTGCATTCTTCTTCTCCCCAACTAACTCTCTTCTCAACCGCATTATCTTTTCGCTCTCTTGAACATCAGACAACTTACGTCTCTCTTTTCGATCCAACGACTTGAGAAACCTCTTGAGAAGAATTACTCTTTTCAAGTAACTCCACTTCTTGGCACCTCTCTTATGATCAGATTCTTCTTCCATATGAGAAGTAGAAACAATTACTGACAAATGTGTATCCCTTTCTTCAATAGGCTGCAAATCAGAGCTACTTGAATCACTCAAATCCGCTCCAACATCATCTTCTTTCGCCATTTCACCAGAAATATCATCAGAAGAGTCATCATCGGTGATTTCCGCAAGTATTTCATCAAACGCTTGCTTAACGAGCGTAACAGTTTCATTCCATACATTTTCGGTATTCTTTGCATCCTCTTCTCTACAAACTTGCTCATTATCCTCCACATTTTCTTCACTTTTCTTTCCCTCGACCTTCCCATCATCATAATCAAGACCAGTCACGTTAGATTCCTTAAAACCTTTGTCAATTCTTCCATCGGAATCATTATCCATAATCTCCGGTTTAGATTCTTCATCAGTCAATACATTTTCAGCTTTTTTTCCATCCTCTTCTTGCATTTCTCTAGAAGAACCTTCTCTGCAAACTTCCTCACTATCTCCCATAGTTTCTTCACTCTTCATTCCCTGGACCTTCCCATCATCATGATTGAGGAGACCCGTCACATTTTGCTCAGATATACCGTGCCTATGTGCGGTGTTTTTCTCCAAATCTTTCTCAATTCTGCCATCTGAATCATCCATAATCTCCGGTTTAGATTCCACTGAATCCATTCCTCCATTCCCATTATCATCAACATTTACCATCAAATTCTCACTAGATTTTCCATTCGATCCCGAATCATTTCCACAATTCTCCGAGCTAGAAACCTCTTCTTCAAACTCCTCTTGATTGGATTCTCCATCTGCATTATCATCATCCACTTGATTTGATTCTTGATCAGTCAAAATCCGACCACCGCCTAAAGGCCCTCTCTTTCTACTCAAAGTCCTCTTCAATAACACCAAACGCCGGTTCGCGCTCTTCTGCCTCTTCATAAACTTCCTCCTCATCGACACAAACCGCTTCAAAGACGGAACACCAACACCGTTATCCACACCGTGGCTATGACGCACACCGTGCAAAGAACAATACCTATAGTTACAAACATCATTATTACTCTTCTTAGAAGAACCTTTCATAGCTGAAGAACATGTAGCTTTAAGCAAACCATTGTATCTCAAACTTGATATTCTCTTTAACCTAGCTACTTCAAGATTCTTCTGAATCTTTTCCACATTCTTTGAAGCAGAAGAGCTCGTTGGTCTCAAGTAATGAGGCTCTAATAAACCTAAATCTTCCCTGGAAACTAAATCAAGATTCTTCTTCCTCATAATATGTCTCGAGCTCGAAGCTAAACGCTTCATAGATCTCATCTTCTTTAGTCTCATTTGAGTTCCTCCTCCAGAATGTTTCCTCGTTGACTGTCTCCTAAGAACCTTCAAATTCGCTCGTCTCCTAACCGATCTTAACCTTTCCTGAAATCAAAATCTCCAGATCTTAGATTCTATTACATCTAACAAGCTCTTGATTCCGACAAGAACAGAGAGACAGAGATTGAGAAAAAAAACAGAACAGATGTGAGACTTGCCTGGTCAATCTCTTCGTTGTCATCAGTTGATTTTGAGTAAGTTCTGGAATCATCAGACATCTCCGATGAAGAAGAATCTTCAGACTCGGCAGTGTAACCGGAGAAGATGGTCGGAATCTGATTGAAGTCGGAACCGGAGAATCCGAAACTGGGGAATCTAGAAATCTTGATGGGTTTCTTCCACATCTTCCTCTCTCTCCTTTTATGCTCTCTTCTGCTACTTTTACTTGAGCTCTCACATTTCTCCGATAACATCGGATTTGACATTCTTTTGTCTGAAAGTTTCGAGCTTTATTGGGTTTATCAAAAAAAAAAAAAGTTTCGAGCTTTATGAATTGTTAGCGAAAATCTCTCTGTTTTTTTTTTGTTTTGTCGTCAAAGAAAAATGATTAGTATTCACATGATTGACATTTCTATGTTTCTCTCCCTGTTCGTCAAAAGATCAGAGCTTTTTGTTTCATTCGTGTTTGAACACTCTTTGAAGATGAGAGAGTCGCCGAAATTGAATTTTATTTTTATTTTTTCTTGGTGAAGTTGAATTTTATAGTACCTTTCAGTTTTTTTTTTTATGAATAATAAATGTATTTATTGCACTTTCTTTCACTTTCTTGGATATATTATAAAAAAGTGACGAAGTCAAGTTTCTTTCTTTTTAATTAAATGTTAATTGACGTGGTTTATTTTTACTGAATCTAATTAAATGGATAATTATTGTATGGAGTATATAGTAGAAAACATAAATATGACTGAATGTGACAAAACGAAAATATGACTGAATAATATCTAAGAAATTCTATTTAAAAAACGCAATTGTAAACTTAAAACAACTTCAATTACGTCTGTGAAAGTGAAAAAAAAAGAATCTAATACAATAAATTAAATTATGTTGTAACCTATTTAGAATGTATGTTACCTCCTTAATTAAACGTCTGGGGATTAATGCTTTTTATAGGGGTTTTCTAAGGCATGCACATCAGTTTTTATTGAAATAAATCAGATAAGAAAAGAGTTTTTCATTGACTAATAAATTGAAATTACATTAATGATCATGAGGTACAAAATATCTGTCCCCATTAATTTCATGCTTATATAGACACATTGATTGATGCTAAAAAATAATTGGACAGCGAATGTAGTTGTTTGTTCGAGGGCTTATTCACCGTAAAGAATCTGTATATATATCAATTAAGCAAATATAGTGAGACCAAAAAACAAATACTCCTTTCTTTTTTAAAATGTAAATTGTTTTATTTAAAAACACGCATATTAAAACATTATTTTTCTACTAAAAAATATCAATTAATATATCTAATAAAAATAATTTGACCAATCATATAAAAAATTACAGAATATTAATGGTCACACAATTCAATACAGTTAAAAAGTATAAAATATTGTCAAAACAACTTATATTTTGAAGAAAAAAAAATAGCTAAAACAACTTATATTTTGATACGGAGAGAATAGTCGACAAACAAAAAAAACACACATAAATTTTATATGCTAGTGAGACTTAAGGACACTGTAGTTAGTAATCTAATCACTGATCATGTCTTGTTTACTTTAAATAATCTTCCAAAAGTTTTGGTTTATAGATTGTGACAAAATCAACCTTTTTCTTTGTGAATGTAGAAAATCATCATTGTATTAGTAAGATGTAGAAATAAAATTAAATAAATAAGAACGCGTAAATATGGGACCCTATGAAACATGCGTTTGATAACACCTATACCACGTGACTCGAATCCTTCCGAGATCGCCGGTTTAATCGGATTGATTTATTTTTCTTTTAATTTCTTTTGTTTACGACATTCAATTGTAGCCCATAAATTCACAAGTACACACTCCTATAGATTCACTTTACATTTTTCTTGACCC